TGTAGAGAACCGGAGACCCTTTTTACTTTTTACTTTAGGCATTCCATCTTAGTCCTCACGGGTGACAATGCATCTGCATTTTGATTCGTAATCGAGGATAAATGTAGATGTGTATGGGCCACAGCAACCACCTACCATCAGGTGGACTGTGTGCTCGTTTGTCACCCTATCCTATAAAAAAAGATGCCTTACATGTGTTGAAACAGCTAGATTAGTTTATTTTAGTTATTTCCATAGCATAATCTTCTCAGAATCTTCTTAAGGGGTAATGCGGCTGACATTGAAACTATCTTTGTTTTGCAAAAGAGAAAAATTTACAGAAATAAATATATTAACTTTGACCTCTCAATATATTTACGAGAACTTATTATATGTACACAAAAACAAAAATAGTTTTATTAAAAATAGTGATGTACATTGTGTAAATACTAGGAACAAGCACAAGTTAGTTACACCAATTAATCGACTCCAAAGGATCAGTAATTCCTTTATGGGGCAATGTATACGCTTTTACAACAAAGTCCCAGAAAATATGCAAACCTTTTCTATCAAAAGGTTTAAATTATTTATTAAGCAAAAATTGTCTTGTAAGGTTTATTATACTAGGTACTAAAGAGTACATGACTGATAATATACCCCTGGGAATGAGGTGATCACTACCATGCTGTTTCTAAATGTTTTCTGTTTCATAATAACTGTATAAAATGTTATATTGTATAGTGCTTTTTTTTTTAAAAAAAAGTCACGCTGGGTTTATTGCTGGTTCTTCCCAGGACAGAAGTTTTGTTTGCAAACCAGTGGTAAAAGTAAAAATGACTTTCAATAAGTATTATAATCTATATTGAATAAAAATGATTCTATGCTATTCTATTCTTTTTCATTAGTCAGTCTTATTTTACGATTAATAATTCGTAACGTTTTCATTTTATAAAAATACTTTTAATCATGTTTCACATGGGATACGTAGATCCTTATAATAGTTTAATAAAATATATTTTTCTATTGCAATTATGACAAACAGATAAGCCTACTATTAACCCGGAATATCAAAAAATATTCCTAAATTAAATAGTTTTATTTTTAATTTAATTTATTTTCAATACCTAGTGTAAATTGTTGTTAGTTAATTAGTAGTTTAACTTATTTTGAAAATTTGCCGTTAAATTCAGCATAGCATTTTCAATGTTATTCCACAAGCTTTTTAAGTAGGTGGTGTATGCGTTTTTGACTCAAAACTGGAAAACGACCATTGAGCGAAAAATTACCTCTTTAAACATAGGTACCAACTAATCGCAATTTTCGTATTAAGGCATTTGTAATTATTATACTAAGTATGCAGAACGATGTGTGTAAGGTAAGAAAAAAACGAAATTGTTGTATTTTATTGTGGATATTTTATTAACATTATCATCATGCATCAAATTTATGTGCTAACTCATTTACACTTATAACTAACTATACATAGAAAAATAACTTAACTAGGGGGGCAGAAAATACAGTATTTTGTTAAATTAACCAACTAAAATTACAATCAACATATCGGACTTTTACTGCGTAAACCTAAAAGCAAATGTAACGCTAAAAAAATCACTGTACCGCACATGACTCTCAGAACGAAATATTTTAAATTTTTAATTTTTAATCTGTTACAACATTAAGCAAATGGCGGCCGTGTGGCCGCTCTTGCAATATTGCCATCAATTAAAATGGAAATAATAAAGCACACCACTTATACACATTACGTATTTAATTATTGGACAATCATTAACGAGCAAGAATACAATGAAGTGATAGACAAAATTAGTTTCCACTGCCGCCGCTTTCCTATAGCGAATTCACTAACCTTCTCATTGCTTCCGCGCAAAGTAATTTCTCTTTTTCCTATCTAGCGACACCAAAGACTGGTCGTAAATGGGTCGTGTGGGTGTGCGTATTCGATATAAAATATGAATGTATTTACATTACATCGTGCAATAAACCAACGGTCGTACAGGCGACCGCGTCAACGTCTCTTGCCAATTAGACAATAATTGTGAATAATTTAATATGAAATTTATGTTACTAAGACTAGGATCAATTAAATTAATTTCATTAACAATAGCTTTCTCGAGGTGCTGTTAAAATTTACAATTGAAAAATTTTAAGTACATTTAATTAGACTTTGATTTTTCAACAACATCAATTCGACTAAAATTATTTTTTTTAAATTTTCCGAGCATCTTTTTACATGTTTGCTCAAACATTTGCCTACTAACCGGTAACTCACATCTCACAGTATCGATTAGCATCACACACTAGCCGAATTATACATTCTGAGAGCGCTCCCTGCCATCGCGTGGTCCATTCACTAATCAATTATTTAATTTGTAAAATTATATTATTTATATTACAATAAAATTTGTAACCTACCGAACGAAATTTCCTATAAAAGGAAAAAGGGAGTATGTGATCGCGCAAGGTTCGCGTACCGTAATCACTCTTATTAACATTTACTTAATTATATATTTTTTTGATAAATAGCCAATAATTTAAATATAGCAATCAATCCAATTACCAAAATTGAATTTATTTAATGTCAATAAAAACAGACTGTCGAATTCGCGAACCAGGCGAAACTGATACTTCCCTGATAGAAAAATAAATAAGTTATAACTAGAGTTTATATTTACAAAAGCATAAGAAAAAATGTCGAAAGAAAGAGCCACTGAGAAATGTGCCTACCTATAGAAAATATTATGATTAAATTTCCACATTTTTTATAATATGTATAGTCATAAATCACATGGAGCGGGCACTGGATTTGTTCAAGGAGTTTTGGACACTGAGATCGATTAACTACATAAACTTTTATAACTTTCTAACGCATTGGATGTAAATATTTTTAATTTAACTTGTAACTGCATGAATTGGTCTAATATATATATATATATCTATAGAAATTTTTTATAACGTGATTGATTTAAACATTTGTCCGCATTTACCGTCGGTCCCACGTCTTAGCACCCATTTTACTCAACACTCCAAATCCCCTAAGGCTTCACTAACCCTCTTCAGTTTCCCAACGAAATGCGCAGTCCGTCATACTTGTCTGATACTATAAGAAGTCTTACGAGCTAATAAATTGATATATTTGACATTTAAATAGAAAAATATTGCATAATATAACGTCAGGGAGTTTTCTATCCTCGCATGCGGACTGTTCATTTCGTATTAAGCAATTTATTGGACGTACTCCTCTAACTCTAACAACTCCCTCATCCTGCGAACACGCAGAAAATTTTGTGTCACTGTACGTGCAAAGAATGTGTGTTCACTTCACATTATATTTTATAAGTGTTTTGAAATCAACGTGATCTAGGCTACAGCTTATTCTCATATCTTTTCCTTTATCTTCTATCTAGTTAAAAGTATTATGATTCATTAACATTGGACCACAAATCGTAATTAATAATTATTAATAATATTTATTCAGGTAACAAAAAATAGAGGTCTCGCGGCAACATAATAAATTATTGTATCGCACATGGCAATGTTTTTGTTTACATTTTCACAATTTCCTGATATGCAGAGTGAGCGTAGGTTGTATATGAAAATTTCGTAAATAAACTTTTTTTTGATATGTTAAAGGAATTACTGCGCGAGACCTCCGTCCAACAGACTTCCTATCGTACATTTAAATAAACAAAATAAACTAGAACATGTCCACTTAAAACAACTCACTTATAGTAAACATTTATTAATTAATAATAATTAACACAAGTAACGCACAAAAATCCATACCTTAAACTATTAATTTATCAGTTTTCTAACAGAAAGTTGGCAGTAGGTTTCAGTACACTGGTTGAATATTAACACAAACAGAGAACCCTAACATAATATCATTCAAAATTCGGTTTTAATGAGACGAAGTCTGATATTAACGAAAACAACAGACCTTATTGTGGGGGCGTACTTTTAAGGATGTAAATACGTATTAGGTATCATTGTACTTTTTACTGGGTTTTGCATCTCTTTCGAATAATCATGTTACTAGAGTGGAAGCGAAAGAAATGCAATACATGAGGTAATATTTTAGTACGTCCCCCAGTGTGTCTAGAGTTTAGTTAAGTCATAACAAAGGAACAGTAGAGCTAGAAATAATATAAGAAGTAATTTAAATATATATATATATGTGTGCACATAGAGAGTTTTTATTTTTATTTGTAACAATGTGTATATGCAAATGGCCATAAAAAGCACCGAAGATAAGTTACTTTATCTGAGGGTAGTACTATAAGATATTTTTGTTATTGTAATATAAACATTTACGTAAATATTTCTTTAATATAAACTCTTAATTATACTATATTATTATACTTATTGCAAATCGTAAAAACGGTTTTTATTTTCGAATAAATTGTATATTTATAATATGTATTGTATTATTTTTGCGTAGTTCTGAGGTAGGAAGTTCTGATTTCGTACAGTCGATCGAGGAAGTGTCTATCGACAATAAATATGCAATATATGTATAGAAACTTCATTACAAACATTTAAAAATTCGTTTCAACATTATACAAAAATTCACTCCGTACCCATAATAACATCTAGCAAATTTAGTGTTCCTTTCTGAAATTCCCCTAAAAATAGGTATATATATAAACATTTGAGCAATCAATTTCGTCTCTCCTATTTTTGTATAAATATTAAATTCCATAATAAAGATTACATTAGTATGATTTGAGAATAACATTTATCTTAAGAACAATATTAGAAGCGATCGGAAAACGTAATGACAACTTGAAAAATAGACAAATTTACTAATAGGTAGGTAGATAGTTAGTTTAAAAATTTAATGTGAGAGCGGAACGAATGACGCGACCCTAAAAATAGTTACGTATGACAGAAAGTCCCGTCTGTATTGTCCAACATCGGAGATTCGAACCGAGAACGTTCAGAGGACCGCGGGTAACTGGTACACACCGGTTCACAGCACTCTAGCACAGTGTCCGTCGCACCGTCTACGCGAGCGAGCAGTCGATTTCGACGATATCCTTCGGCACATCCACGAACTGGTATACAAGCCGCTGGCCGTCCACCTTGGCGAGGATCCCGCGCTGGTAATAATAACGCAGCGCCCGGCCCATGGTCTCGTAGTTCATGTCCGGTTTGTTCTTGTGCAAGCCCCAGAGGCGAGACACCGCCTTGGAATCTACGAGCTTAAAGACGCCTTTCTCGCGATTCGTCCACTTGATATAGCGTGGACAGTACTCCCGATCTTGAAGGAGTTTTAGAAGGAACTCCCATAAATATGTAGTTGAGCCCTCTCGGCTCTTGCGTTTCACACCGGGAGTTGGTGGGGCGTCACTCCTTGGCCTCTTTTTGGGTTTGAGCTTGTTGTGGTGGTGATGCCGCTGGTAATCCCCAAAGTCGAAGACTGAGTAGGGGAGGTCGTCGTGAGGTAGGGGCGGAGGCGCGGGAGCGGCGAAGTGGTGCGCCCCGCCACCTCCGCCGCCGTACCCATAGCCATATGCATCACGATCGTTCACGGTGCCAACTGAAAATAACCAAAAATTCAAATGTTAATAAATTTGAACGATATTTTTCTTATAGAATAAGAGTGACAAATAAGCATACAGTCAGATGGTAAATGGATGCTGAAGCCCATAGACATCTACATTTATACTCTATTATGAATCAAAATGCAAATGCGTTCGCACCCTTGAGGATAAAGGTGGAATGCCTCGTTTTTAGAAAAATAAGCGTCTTGCCTTCCCCGGTCGAACCTATCCATTCATGCTACAATTTTAAAACTGCCTACCACCACCAACTATCACCAAGGTTATTGATTTAAAGTATCTCAATAGAATTTTTTTTATTATTTGTCGTTTTCCATTAAGTCTAAGATATTTAATTTTCTGACGAAAAAAATCTAGTAATCGGGGAATAATAAATGTTTTCTTGCTCTCCTGTAATTTTTTGAAAAATTGAGGTTCGCCTCTTTGCGTCGTTAACGACAAATTGTAAGGCACTTTACTATTTGACTGTACCACAAAGATCACATCTTGATATGAACAATAGCCTAATTTAATACGGCTTAGTGAAGGTAGTCGAAACATTGTAGGTATTACACAAACTAAAACCTGCTAACAATCGTGGGACTTGAACGGTCTCACAACCCAAAGATGCGCTTAGACAATTTATGTTTTTAAAACTCATTCATTTGTATTTTGAAAATAAAGTTGAATTTGAACACGTTACGAGTATATTAGATGAGCATTTATACTATTGGTTGCGATAGGCGATATGAACGTAAATATGTATAAGTAGAATAATAAAATATTTTGCGAATGATGGTCGAAGAAAAAGTATACTTTATTATTAAAAAAAATTACGTTTTTTTCGACTGTTATATTTTATTACTTCATAAACTACAATAAATAGGTCTAGTCTTAAATGTTTACTTCATTCCGATTCGTATATTGATGAAATGGATTAATGAGTTTAGTGACCTTACGTCATTCATGTTTTACTCGTATTTGAATGTGACTAAAAAATAATAAGCGTCCGAAAATGCAATTGTTCGGCAACGATTCGGTCAGGCATAATAATTGGTATTGTCAGAATAAAAACAACAAATATTTACAAATTTCGGATATTATCTACGGTATGACGCTACCCAGCAGCGTGCGAATTTATTGCAAGAAGTAAAAACATAATATTTTGAAAATACTAAGCTATTGATATAAACTTCATTTAAAATGTAGGTATATATCGAATTCTTACTGGTAATTAAAAATCACAGGTCGTCTGTCTACTTTGAAAGCCAATACCATTAACAAGTTCTCGAAAATTGGAGATGTGTGGTGAGATAATTAAACGAATGTGTAGCTAAGAGTAAGTTAAAAATTCAGCTTAGTTTTGATAAGAACTATGTATATACTTGGGACGGATAAAAGCGAGCTAGATTGCGTCAACCGACGCTCGAGACTTCGCCTTGACCCCAATGTCTCTATAGCTCGGTAGCCAGTCGCCGGTAGACCGTTTTCCTCTACCATATGTCACGATTTTTAGATACTTTACCAACAATTCTACCACCTTGCATTTTTCTTATTATCTGTTGGTTTTATATCAAATTGACAGCGCAACCTACAAGGCAAATGCAAGAGGTCTGATGTCTTGTGCCATTCGAATCAAATCGACTAAGGTAGTTAATTAAAGTTTCATCGTTATTTCCTTCAACTCTTTCAGACTAGTAGAACTACCGGCTGTAGAAAGAATGGCTTCTACCGGTGAACACACCTCATAGAATATCAGCATAAAATAAAGCAGCATTATGCTGCTGTGTTTCTTATAGTGATCGACGACAACTGAAGACCCTATTTACCTATAAATGGCGTTTCTTCTTAGTCCCCAAGGATGATAACGTATCTGTATATTTATTCTTAAACTAGCTGTTCGCCGTGACTTTGTCTGCGTGGAATTCCGCGGAACCCTAATTCTTTTTCTAAAAAAAAAAAGTAGCCTTAGTTACTCCTTATAACATTAGCTAACTGCCAGTGAAAGTCCCGTCAAAATCGGTCCATCAATTTCGGAGATTAGCCGGAACCCGGAACCAACAGACATACAGACAGATAGACAGACAGACGGTATTTGGCTGATGAAACGGAAAAATAAAAAGCAAAAAAGGAGTCCTACTTGGTAGTGGTCTTTTTCTGCCTAAGCGTCCGTTTGGGTAGGTACCACCCTTTTATCTATTTTTGCCGCCAAAAAGCAGTGCTTGCACTGCTGCGTTCCCTTCTGATGGGTATATAAGTCCAGTATAATGGGCTATAATAGGCTTCAGTGGCCACTTACCATGAGACTGTATGTTCGTTTGTCACTTTTGTTTTATTAAAAAAAAATAACTAGTATTTATTATTAGTGTCAAACGAGACTACAGTCAAGTTGATTGTAACTGGCTTCTGCATTATCTACTGACACCTTAAAGCAACTTAAGAAGATCACGCATGCTTTGTCACAGACATTGAGTTATATGTACTACGTACTAGAGAAGCCATTCCGAACATTGACTATGTTCAACTGAACTGTACTGTAATCCGTACAAACTAAATATTGCGTAAATTGAAGATTTGTGAATTCCATAAAATAATTATTACCTATTATATTTTATTTAGAAATATGTTTGTTTAGATTAAAATAAGATATTTTATATTAAATTCTTATATTTATTTTATATTAATATCTTATTTTATATCAAATTAAAGTCTTCGCACATGCGCGACTACTACTCCCGCGCATGTGCAAAGACATAGAGTAGGACACAATTTTTGTTTGGAATGGCTTCTCTAGTACGTAGTACATATTATAACTCAATGGTCAGAGAACTAAGGCTGTTACTATACCGGTTTTGTTACATTACATAATGTATTATTAAATTAAAAAAGTTGTCAAATTAATCTTGATTGTATAACATTTTTATTCCTATGGTAATCAAGAATTGCACAAAAAATTTCGCACAGTGACAACTCTGTAAACAAGGAAGTCATGTTCGTTATTCGGTAATATTATAATTATTATAGCATGTATTATTTCGCGAAAGATAAGATAGGGGTCGAGAAGTATAAATCACGTAATTACGTGACAACGACAACGATCGAATCGGTGATGATGAACTTTACAAGACGCTGTGAACGAGTTTACAAATAACTAGGTGGTAAGACTCTTTTCTTCTGTCAGGGTAGGTACTGCCTTCTTATCTATTTCTATCACCAGTAGCAGTGCCATGTCCGGTCAGAGGGGGTTATACAATACAATTACAGTATAATGCATAAACCTATGTATGAAAATTTCACTGTACGCAGTAAATTTCGTCAACGGCAGCGATGAAATTGTTAAATTGTAATTTTAAATTTAATGCTCAGCGGTGAAGGAACATATCGTGAGGAAACCCACAAGTCTGAAAAATTAAAAAAATATTTTCTAGGAATGTGAAGTTCTCCATTGGGGCAGCGGATACTTCATTGCTCTAAAACACCTCGGAAAGAAAAGGTCTGTGCCAAGCCTCGGGGGTTATCAAGTTGTAACTGTCCTCTTAACTTTGTAAAAGGTTTAATGATTTATTGTTGTGATTATGTAAGAGTTACATAATTCATAAAACAATGATATTAGCTACGCAAACGTTAGGTATTTATAGCAGATCGGTAAACTCCACCATGGACACGGGCCGCCATTTTCTGTCTAATATTATCTAACTCGCGTATTTTCGCGCGACTTATCGCGGGTCATTCAACTCGCACGTGTGTCCATTTGCCACATTGCCTCTGCACGATTAGAAACTCGAAATTAAGAAATTAAGAATTAAAGGATAATAAAAATAATTATTGGCATTGGTTTATTTTTATTAAGTCTCTAGTTTTTTTTTTCTATAATTTAATTAATTAATTGCCTCTAAAAGGCGCCTATTGGCCACCTGACGGGCTGTAACTGTAACATTAACATTCTCATTCTCAAAATTAAACTGACCATTAAGGTTAAGCCTAAGACGGATATGAATCTACTATTTAATTCCTGTTGTAAACTACTCCTAATAAAAGAAATTTAATCTTAACTGAAGTGGTCAAACGGAAATATTAGTATTTTTAGTGTTAATTGCACTATTGTATAAAAAAAAACTGACTATAATATTGGTTCTTAAGTGCAAATGCCTCATTTCCAGTAAAAAGGGTCTCTGGTTCTCTACACTCACCATACGAAACACAGCAGCGTTAAGCTGCTATTTTACGTTGGTATTCTGTGAGAGCGTGGTCCTTCCCCGGTCGAGCCGACCCATTCGTGCTACAACTATACTACTAATATAGCTGCAGCATGGCTCTACCACGTTCAAAGTTGTCGGTTCTTCGAGCTATATGGTCGACCCATTGCCACTTCAACTTTATAATCTTCTACTTATTGTAATTAATTTCTCATTTGAGAACTTTATATTTGAATTAAGTTTAAATATTACTAAAGTATCTGTTTTTGGTTTTAAACTAATGTAGCGACATATTCACATTGTGATTAATCTCATTAATAAAGAATATAAAAAAAAAATATTTAAAAATCTGAAATAAATAAATAAACTATGTATAACGTTTTGAAGAATGTGTTCGATTTTTTATCGACAGGTACATTCATAATCACAAAAAATATGTAATTTTCTATTTTAGGAAACGACTGTAACACTTGTTTAAATACGACAAGGGTGTGTGTAATTTGTATGTATGAGTAGGAACTTATCATTTTAGGACATCTGTCACGCTAACCGCCTAGGCTCAGAAAGTACTTTAGTGTGATGTTAACCCAAATGCTGTATTTACTCATTGTCGGCAAGGAGACAAGGGTGTTTGGGGCGGTGACATTTGACTATATCCCTACACTAATTGCATAGGTACTTACAATATTATTTTTTTTGTGTCATAACGTTGGCAACGTTTTATAATTTTTATTTCAGCATGATATTTTAATAGATGTGTACTCCACTGGATGGTAGGACTATTTTTCGGCCTAGGAGATCTA